CCACCTAAAAAACCTACAAAAATGATAAATCTTGACTATTTCATCCCTTAGGTTAATATGTTGCATGTACTCCGTATATTTTTTGTGCACCAGTCAGTTTCTCATTATTGATTTCCTTTCTCCATCTCTTGTTGAACATCTTAAATCTGCATCAAGTTTCAATTATATTCAAACTCTCCCACATTAGAAATGACCCTCTATTGTCGCCTTCGCCGTGACTCGGACTCAACACTTTCCGAAAAAATCTTTAACACTACGTTTGGTTCAAGGAATTTGAAAGAGAGAAACGAAGAAAAGAAAATGAAGTGGAAAACCCATTTTTTTGTTTGGTTAGAGAGGAAAAGAAAGAAAAAGTGGAAGAAAAAGAAAATGAGAATACAAAATGTACCAAGTGGAGAAAGAACCTAATTCTTCCCATTTTAGTGAGCATAATTTTCCGTAAATTGTGATTAAGGTTGAGAAAAATTAACATTGAAAGTCAAACTGGAAATATTCTAAAGAAACGGGGGAATATTTTTTTTTAGATCTCTTCTTTATTTATACTACGTATGTATAGTATCTTTTTGATGTGAGTGGAAGGAACCTATGAGAATCGGAAGAGAACAAGCTGGTCCGACCGCTGTTAATGGGGCAACCACATACCCCGGCCCGGAGTAGTCTTTAATTATTAATTAAGTGGATGTAATGTTTTCTTATGGATTCAAAACTACAATTAATCGGGTTTGACTATAAACCTTAATAAGCATGCATTATTATATATATGATGTGCATTATTCCTTCTGTCCCCAAATATCTTTCTCATTTGACCTTTTTTGGTCAAAGTTTGAAATGTTGACTACGATATGTGAAAAAAGTACATTGTATTATAATATAAATTTAATATGAATATATTCATATTGAAACGTACTTTTCAAATTTTAAATTTTTATAAAATATATTTATAAATAAATATAGATATTCATGGTCAAAGTACAATATTAGAAACTGTGAAAAATAAAATGAAAAGAACATTTTATAAGGAGTGAGTATGTTATAAATCTAGTATCTTTGTGAGTTCGACTTTGACCCCTCCTCCGTACACACCCAAGAAAAGATGAGAAATTCAATGACTGCTAATCTAACATGGAAGTGGACCTCCAACATTATTATCATAAATTAATTAAATAAAAAAATCATATTCAATTTCGTAATGCATGAAAAATGGAATGAATATTTAGAAGTGCGGGTACATCAATATTGTGCAATCATTTCGTACTACTAATCCCACCGTTTCAAATTAATAATCTTCATATCTTATATTACAATGTCTCGATAACTCATACTTATATTTATTTTATTCATTGATCATTAATAAAATATAATATTTTTGTCACCTTCTATTTATAGTTTTGAATGATGCAATTCATACATTATATTTTTCTATCAATTTACAAATAGAATAATTTTAAAAGAAATAAATATTTGCACAGTCTTCCAAATAGAAAAAATAAATTCAGACAGAAGTAGTATTTGAATGTTCACTAATTGGAGATGAATTACCCACTCTCTCTCAAAATAAAATTTCACATTTTTTTTCGTTCTTTTCAAAATAAATTTTCCTATCAAAGACGAGAAAGGCTAGAGTTACAAATAATAATGACACACTTCATGACCTCTCTATTTGTGAATTCCATTTTGTTTTTTAATTAATAATGTTCATAAAGATAATATTAGCATTTTCATCGAAGACATGCATGTGTATCAAATTTCTTATATCATTTACACAAAATTTAACTACACACATTTTTTGCTTTTTATGTGAAAGTAATTTCGAAACGACGTTAATATTTTAAAAATAAAAGTATTTGTCAATAATGATTACAATTTATTTTTTCACAAAGTGCAATAGTATTAGACATTATAAAAAATGTATGAACTCAGTCAACTCACAAACCCGAGAGATATTCTTGTACCTAGACTGCTACGACGCCTACGAGTATATACGTTATACTTAGGCTCATTCTTGGTGTATGTAAAATTTAATTTTTATATTTAGTCTTGCTAAACCAGAAAATCTTTGTTTTCAAAAAAAAAAAAAGAAAATCTTTTGAGTACAAAAAAAATTACTCCGTATTACATTAGATAAGAGCTGTTGATTTTTTATTAACACTCTTTCCGTCCCAATTTAAATCGTTTGTTTTTGTTTACGAGATTTGACTGAAATTATGTTAAACTTAATTTAGTTGAAAATTTGTATGGAATTAAAAATAAAGTTTGTATACTAAATAATTATATGAAAAAAAATTTACAAAATAAAACGTGACTAGGCTATATTATTTTATAGATTAAGTAGTGAATATGGATTTTAAAAATGTGATTATAGTTTAAGTACGTGAATAATAAATACTTGGTATATAATTTAAATTGAGATAAAAACCGTATTAAAAAGATATTTTGGACACAAAGTTAATGTATTAGATATGGTACTGATTTTAGCAATAGAACAGTGTGGTAATTGTAATCAAGAATCAAAGTAAGTCACATAAATGGACCATCCTAGCTAGGTAGGCCAATAGCTTGGTTGGTAGCTGTTAGGGGGTTATTGAAAATCATAAGGTAAGTAAGTTGTCCTTCAATCCCAACGTGGGATCGCAATAAAGTCAAAACAAAAGACATTTCTCATTTCAAAAAGGATATGTCTCATTCTTGAAGATCCGTTAGAGTCAGCTACACGGTCATTGAGAGAAGTAAATTGTATTTCAATTGTAAATTTGTGCTAGAGTGTGGAATTTGTATTTAGTATTTACAGAGGCTTTATGCTTATTATAATTATCTCCTGGTGCAGTTACCAAATGTCGAACTCAGTTTACCCCCTGGCACTCCCTATCTTTTGCCTTTCGCGCAACGTTCACTTGCATTTCCGATTTTAAACTTTTTAGATTCACAAAAAGTTTTGAGAATCCTATTTTTTAGTATCACCTTTGACACTAAAAATAAATATATACAGACAATAATTTTCTGTACAAGAAGTGTTTGTATTTTTCTTTGATGTCAAAATAAAGTTTTTGTAGCATGCTGCATCAAATATGAGGTTTTCCTAACTTTTTTCAATGCGAAAGAGTAAGTGAAATTTGCACAAAATAGTAATAAAACATATGTCATCTTTCAATATAGTACTTATACTTTTTTATTTTTTATATAGTACTTGAATAATGCCTAGTGGCAAGAACAATGTCCAGTGATGGTAGACATTTAGTTTGAACAATATTCTGTAGCGATAGATATTTACTTGAACAATTACCAATGAACAATAACCAGTGGTACTACATTGAGAAATAAAAATTTATAGTATTACATTGAGAAAAATCATTATGTTTTATCAATATTTAGGTAAATTCTCCAAGACTAAACTTATGTTGTCATAGAGTGAGCCATAATAAGATACTCCGTATTTAAGATGTGTACTTGAGGCGGGAAACGCATAACTTGTGTTAAACAATATTTTTTCGATATCAAATTAAAAGAAATACTTCCTTTGTTTAAATTTATTTACATTGTTTGAATAGCGTTCAAAAACTTACTCGCTTTGTTCAAAATTAAGTTGTTTGTTTATTATTCATATGATCAAACTTTATTCACTTTCTTTCTCTATTTTCGTTAGTCATTTAAAAAAAATATATTCATGTTACCACTAGTTTGTTTTAAAATATTTATTTTTTATTTCCAAACCATTTTTCATATAAAATAATTTGAAAATAACTTCAGTCAAACATCGTAAACCAAAATATGCGGTTTAAATTTGGACGGATGAGTATTTATTATAACGATTTATCTATAAATTTGTACAGAAATAAAAAAAATATAAACTACATGTTAAAAAAATTTAAAGTTCAATAAAACAAGATGCAATAAAATATTTTATTTTATTAAATAATCAATATACGAGTAAACAAATGTTATTAGGAAGCTCAAATAGTAAAAGTGTAAATCATTTCAGCATCAAAATACATTTTCTTTTTTGGTTTGTTCAAAACTTCAAAGTACCCCTTTTTGATAGGATTGTGTGACCATTATCTAACGAGTTAACTTCATTTTACGGGGGTATGGAAGATTTTGAGCGTTAGGCCGCCCGTCCAGTTCTGGTTGAAGTATGGCCCATAATTGCAGCCCATCTTAGGTCAACTAATTCTCTACGCTCCTTGAATATGTTTAACATTACAGGCATGGGCTTATTATGATGGATTGAATTTGTTTCCGGGAAAATATGTATCGCTTCACCACCATTGTCGTGGCCCAACTCGACCCATGTGATTTGAAATGCCCCAAATCCCACAACTCGGCCCATATAGCCCGCCTGGTCAGCCTGATCTTAATACATGTTTGACAACTTCAACATTTCAAGAAATCAAGAATGTTATCTAATGACAGTATTTATCCTGAATGTTTTTATAATTAATCTCTATTATTATTAAAAATTCAAAATACTAATGCTATTTAAAAACTTTGTTTCCAAAGAAGGCTATAATATCGCATAACAGTTTAATACCACTCGTTCCCAAGTGATCCGATAAATGAATAACACGCTCCTATGGCATGATATCCCCGAACAAGACCCGTAACTTTTACCAATTAGGTTTCCACGCGAAGATTTTATACTCCGTATTGTTTACCATATTTGTCATACTATATGTGATTTAACCGTTCTTGAACACACCACCATCTTTTGTAGTGTCATCCTAATCACGTACAAGAGACGAAATTTGGACCTTTTCTTTGAGAGATAAGAAAGATGAAAACAATTGTGGGACATTTACTGTAAACATGTGAAAGCCATTCTTCTATTGTAATGCAATGAGCCAACAAGCACTACAATATTATATATTACATACATACATAACATACATTAAGATGAATAAACAGAAACACCAACCAATTCCTTCAAGCGTCCATCATCTGAATCATCGATGAATATCTAGAAGGGGAGATACACACACACACACACACACACACACATATATGCACATGTATAGAACTGCATTAGCATGCACTGACCTGCAATGAGATTTCATTCGAACGGTGATTCAGATGAAATACTACCAATCATCTTTAACGATTTTTGACTTCTCGAGAATGAACTTCCCTTCCTTATACTTCTGTGTTGGCTCGTATGCTCGTTCGTATTTCCACCCCAACAGCTCCCCGCAATCTGTACAGAACACATCAGCCACCGTGTGAAGACCGGTTGTTAGTTGTCTGTCTTCTTTTCTCCCCACATCGACATTCGTCACATGAGAAAACAGAAAGGCTCTTCCATTCCTTCCCTGAAAAGAATGACAGTCTACAGATCTTTAGGGTATATAACTTCAAAAATGCCCTAAGTTCACAAACAGATCCACAAACTCTTGATTTGTACTTTTTACTAAGCTTCCAAACTCGTGATGATAAAAGTTATACTTCGAATACATATATGTGTGCACTTGTTGTCTTGTTGAGTCTATCAATGGTAAAACAGCAACTACTGGGACATATACAAATCATCAACGTATATTTTGAATATTTCAAAACAAAAAAAGCATACATATGTGAGCACTTCTTGTTCAGGAAAAAACATTGTTTATGCTTCAATTTTAACACATGACGTAGTAGAATGACCACGTTTATAAACTATGCAGTAAGTAATTATTCAAAGGCTCGAGATCGCAGGCCCGGCTTGGAGGTTTTTGGAGTTGGTCCTTAGCCCAAATCTGATCCAGGGTCCGATGTCATCCCCCCAAGCTCAAAAGGTAGCCCAGCATTCCCTGTGGATCTCTCTCTTTCAGTTCGGCCTCACCTGAGCTACCTGGCGGGTCAGGGCTAGCGTGGTCGTCCGGCATACGCCCTCCAATTAAGCAAAGAGGCCAGGGTTAAAGAGAAAAAGGTTATGCGTAGGAACTTTTATGGATAGCAAGTCCCCACGCACTCACGATACTATAAGGGCCTGTTTGGTACGAGGGGAGGGGATGAATGGGAGGAAAATGGAAGGGATGGGGAGGGTTTCCCTTCACTTTATTTGGTTGGGAAAGGGAAGGAATGCCTATGAAAGATCTTGAGAATTTAGAGCCGCAAGTGGGTTCTCAGTTTGGAGATGGAGAAAGCTTTTAGTTTTGCTGGCACCATCATGTGAAATTTGTCTTATCCAAGCTGACAAATGTTTATTGCTAGAAAATTTTTACAGCACATTTGAAGAGGATCTTGGAAGTGGGAATGGAGAAGCAAGATTGGGTCTTCCAGGATTGGAAAACTTCTTGGGAAATGGAGAAGAACTTCATGGACTCGTATGAAGAAGAATGAGAAGTATGATTCGGGTGGGGACTGTTGGAGAAGAATGACAAACAGGGGAGAAAGATGGAGGCAGGCTATCGATCCGTCCGGTTAGGAAGTTACGAGAAGAAGGGGAGGGAAGGGAATGATGACAAAAAAATCAAGGTCCCCTCCCTTTCAATATTTTAAAACCAAACAAGGGGAAAGATCCATTTTTCCTCCCCTTCCTTCCAACCAAACATGCCCTAAAAGTCCCAACGCGTAAGTGATAAACCATATTCTCTGAAACCCTAGCTTCTTTGCCGAGACATCGTGATGAATAACAATCACATAATTAAACACGTGGAAAATCTGAACAAGGAATCTAAATTCAACAGCAAATATATTTTTCTTTTGATTTTTCCGATTCCAAATTTATTATATTCGATTTAATTATTTAGTTTCCATAGTGCACAACTTTCGTTTGCAACTTAGAGCCGCCGTCCAACGGCAGAAGCCGCTGAACATGACCGAGGTGCAGCTCACGGAGTCACGGCGGTTTTATTGCTACGGATCGTCGTGCCAAACATGTTTATTTAATGTGCATATATTTACTAAACACAAGATTAAATATACGTTGGAACAAATAGCAAAACCAAATCACTCTATAAACAAATCCATCAAATCTTGAATGCAAAAACACTTCTTGCTAAAATAAAACGCCAAATCTGTTCCGTGGACAAATTCTAACAAGTCTCGAATCTCAAACACAACCAACCCACAGACAGCTACATAGATCATAAAATGGGTTACCTGAAAGTCCTTCGAGATTATATCATCATGAACAGAAACACAAGTTCTGCAGTTGCAGCAGCTGTAGAGCCGAGGTCTAATCATTCCATCCATGAGACTAAGAACACCACAATTTCTAGTTCCTACAAAGATTCATCATAATCCAACAAGAAATAACCGTAAGGAATGAAACTTTGATTTAGACATTTGGAGAGCAAAAATCAGGAGTGGAAACTGGAAATCAAAAAATAAAATACTGCGTATACGTCAAAAAAAAATTGAAATTTGGAGAGAGGGAGTGTGAATATACCTGAAATTCTATAACTTGCAGCGATGTTGGGACTGCGAGGTAATCTGATGTTAAGGATAAGAACAACAGAGCATATCGTCCACGACAACCATTCGCCGTACGGCGAAGTGTTTGTGTATGCAATATACAAATATGGTAAAAACAAATAAAGAGAAATTTACAAGACTAAAATATAATGATTTTCTTAATATAAAATCATATGTTTTTATTTTTCAATCTAGAACTTTGGTCATTATCAATTAGTCATTATTCAAGTAAATGTTCATCATCATTAGACATTATTCCTCCCACTAGACATTATTAAGTCTTATTTAAGAAATAAAAAAGTGTAAGTCCTACTTTAGAAAATGATTTATGTTTTATTATAAATGCCTTAAAAATAAGTAATTTAAATCTATTTATTTTTTATTTATGATTTTAAAACACGTTAAACTTATAAATTAATAGTTACTTATAAACTAATAAAGTACTAAAAAATGAATTTCATGTTTTTATTAATTAAATAAGAGTTCGCACTCTGATAATGTGACACTATACATGAACATTTTACTAAATTTTTTTATAATAATATACATGGTCATGATTGGTAATGTAAATATATTTTAATTTTCATGTTTGGAAATGAAAATAATTTTCTTGTTTGGAAATGAAAATATAGAACTCCTTAATATATTTTTAATGTTATATTCCTATTTTATTCTTTTCCCATAAATCAATTTGATTAGCTAATAAACACAAAGAAACACTCATATAACGACTTCATCATAAGCCATTTAAATAATAACATTAGAGGTTAGATTCATTGATTTAAATGTTTGAAAGTGTTGCTTGATGACATCATTTTATTTTAATACTCCGTATATATTTTTTAAAAATTTTTTACATCATTAATTTTTTTATTGGTAGTGCTCTTTCCAATCAAGTCATATGTATATATTATATTAGAATCCTTCTTTTGAGTTTAGGAGATATCACTTCTCAAATGGCAATCACTTTCAGCCATTAAGTTTCACCATCATCGTCAACTCGTCACTCCCTCATCCGCGATCATACTTGTCGTCACCAACCACCACCACCGACTACTCATTGTTTGTGAATTTTATTTTCAAGTAGTTATATGTTTTGAGTACTTTTTGTGATATACATTAAATTCAAAAATATTAAAACTCAACATTTTTATTAAAGTTATGCTCGAAATGTTAAAACTAAATGATGAAGTTATTAATGTCAAAGTGACGCATAATCCAAAACTAGTTCAGGTATTATTCGTTGCCAAATTTTTTCATTTGTTAAAAGAGAAACATTGTAAAGTTACTAAAAAAGATCTACCTTAAGTGGCAAAATTATCAAATTGTTAAGTTAATCTATGGATGTATTATTTATTGGGATAAAGGTCTAACCATGAGAACAAATCACAATTTAGATGGTCAATCCCACAACCTAAGAGGGAATATCGTGAAGGTAGACGATCACACCATTTCAAGACGCCAAAAGTTTATCGAGACCGAACCATGAGGCTAACTTGATCTTGAGAAAATTGACCATCGCTCAGACCGCTTTATAATTCCGAAACAACAAAAGAGTCCATAATGAGCATAATGCCCAATCAAACAGTAACACATGTCAGGATTTTTCTATCATTTTAAGGTCATATATCAAATACGACATCTGTACGCAGCATTTAATGCAAAGAGATATCTAACACATACATCCCGCTGCCACAAATATTTTTTATAGTACACATCAATAAGGAGATGCCACGTCACCCACCATGTTTGAAGCCACCTCATATAAATACTCGAGGGAGATAACTAGAAAAGGATAAGATTTTGGACTGAGGAAAAAACGATAGTAGATACACCGCCATGCTCCACCGTCATTTATCTTTGTCTTTCCCCCACCCGTCTCGGACTACAGGTCATCTCCACCGACACTTATGATATGTTAAAATGTGCAAATAAAATTTGTAATCACCTGAATCCCGTCGTGAGATATAATATAAAGGTTGTCATACTCATGCTTATACCATTCGTTTCCATTCCACCCATCATTTGGCCCTTGAGGGTGTTCGACTATTGAGTCAACCTGAAACAATGAACTTAAACATTATACATGAAATTATTGATATTTTAATACAAGTTTTGCAAAATTTAAAAGTTCATGTATATTCAATTCAAATACTCGTAACTTAAAGTCTATGAAAATCATTTATATTTTGAAATAAAAACTAAAAAATGTTTATTTTGATTTCAAAAAGCAATGAACACCAACAATATTCATGAAAATTATTGGATTTTTGCACTTGAAAAAAGATGTACTCCATATAAAAAAAATAATGCTAGAGTGCCACTACATGGGTGTTACCATGGATGCAGCTATGCTTCACACAGACAAACACAGATGATAATTGTCTGTGTCGCATAAATAATTATCATCTATGTTTGTTTGTGTGTAGTATGAGTGCACCCATAGTAGCATCATGTAGTGACAACTGACAACCTAGCACTACCCATAAAAAAAATGAACAAATCAGTATTCAATGCTGATTGCGGAGTAGTACACCCCAAAACGCTTCCAATTGAAAGGCGGGATATTTATACCCAAAGGGGCTGCCTATTTCCCGTATTTACACATTGGACAGGCAATCAGACCTAGAGCCGCACAGTTTCTATCTCGGTAATCGGCAACGTCTTTTTTTTTCCGATTAGGGTTTCAATCTCCGCAGTAAAATGGCAGATTACTGGAGGTACGGTGACGTTAGGCCACCGGCGGTAGCTATTCCACCCGTCCTTGCTAAGCGACCTCGATCCGAATACGGTATCTCACTTCTATTCTCATCTTTCTCTTCAAATCTCGTACAATTGCTATATTTTGTTCCAATACTACAATCCTCTTTGCCCCCCCCCNGAGCTAGGGTTTGGGAGATTTTTCGATCATGATTCATGTTTGCGTTTTCCCATCTGTTATGGAATATTGAGAAATATTCCGCATATGGAGTGGAAATTGTGATGTTCAGTCACATGTGTAGCATCTCTCTACCCAATTTAGCATCCCTTAGTTGGTACATGAGTTTCTCACCCGAGAATGGGTGCAAAATCGAGTCTTAAATGGTTTGCTTTCTACAATATTTTGAGCGACGACGGGAGTTATTTTAGTCTCGCACTCGAGTCACACGAGAAGTATACAAGATCTCATTTTTTTGCACATGATAAAAGTTATACCCTAAAATTTCTTTTGCTTGCTTCTCTTGTTCTACATGAATCAGAAAGTGGCCATGACTCTATTGGTTTTTAATGTGATATACAGATCCTACAAGTGGCCATGACTTGCATGGGTATTATGCTGGCGATGATGGAAGGGGAGTTCATCGGGTCATTCGAGATACTGATCCTTTGGGGGCATCGTATGACCGTTATCTGCAAGGCGCGGTAAGCAGTTCATTTATCTATGTTTTGTGGTGCTTATCAATAGTCATTTATAATTGTGGGTGATTGAAATTCATAACACATTGTGGTAGAAGATGTCCGCATATGGTGTGGGTGAACCTGCTAGATCACTGGGTGGTGCAATTGGTGGGCATCCTGGTGAGGATCCACGTGCCTTGGGGATTGTAGGGCCAGACCCTATGAGTGCAAAAGCCAGGGCAATGGGAGTAGTAGGTGGAGTTGGCAGAACAGAAATCCCTCTCCCTCCAGATGCTTCCAGTACACTCTATGTGGAGGGCTTACCCTCTAATTGTACTCGACGTGAAGTGTCTCGTATCCTTTTACAACTATAAGTCTACAATCTGCTATGTAAATTGCTGGGGTACACAATCCAGATCATTCAGTAGCATTTCAATATCTCTGTTATTGTATTTTTCATTAACTTTTGGCAGACATATTCCGTCCCTTTGTGGGTTATAAAGAAGTACGACTTGTAACAAAGGACTCCAGACGTGTAAGTGTACATGTATTAATATTTTTTTTAGTTTCCCATACCACTTTTTTTCTGTAAGAAGTTCTTAAGCAACTGATAAACATTTGCAGCCTGATGGCGAACCATTGGTTTTTTGCTTTGTTGACTTTGCAACTCCAGCCCATGCTGCTACTGCTAAGGAAGCCCTTCAAGGTAACATTATCATTTTCATGCTTTTTGTGTGTGATCTCAGATTAAAACTTTTTTTAATCTCATATTAATACTTGTGCATTCAGTTTTGGAGCATTAAAGACAAATGTCTTAATATAATGCTAGTTTTCGAAGTCTTTTATATGTGCCTCATTCTAAAAGTGCATGACATGTTTGTACCTGGAATAGGTTGTGTTGTGGACATTTAGGAGCCCTTGATACATTTATTTTCATTCTCCATAGAAAACTATAAATCTAGAACCATTCTTTGATCATTCCCGAGCTTTTCATCCTCATGCTTTCTGGCACATGATATTTTACTTTTGAAATCTTCATCAAGTGTGCAAGTCCGGGAACTCCACATGATATTTGGAGCTCGCATAAAGTAACTACTCCCGATAATAGAAAACAAGTTAATCTTTCACTCATTTTTTCCTTCATCTGGAGTTTGCTTATTATTTACAATCTTGCTCCCGTGACTTAGCAATATTATACCTTTATTTTATTAATACAAAAATAATATGGAAGATTTTACACACTACCACGGCTCCATGTTGACATGTGTCGTATTGCTGCTTTCTACTCAAAATCATCACCTCTGCTTAGACCCCCACTCAGGCACTCAGCCATCTTTCACTGTTCTCAAGTCCATTGTTGCTGACAACTGTCAACCAGTAAATGTGCTCGCAAGCTGCCACTGCTCCAACATTTTCCAACAAGCTCTAATTACAACCATGACACCTAAGGACTAGCCATTATCGCAGCTCGCCATCAGGCACCTACCTCTAATACTGTTGCTGCCTCCCGGACATGTTCTTTTAAATGATTTTGCGCAACACATCATATTTCCGTTGAAAAATAGTCACAAAGTTACATAATTGTCTCAAGCGCTTTGACCCAAGTTCATCTGTTCTATTAACCATGTTGAGAAGAATAATTACATCTTGTGGTACTATTAATTCATTAGTGGGTTGATTTCATTCCTTTAATGATCGAAATTGCTTACGTTGTGATAACGCCGAGCTACAACGCTAAGTAGGCACAGGCAGATATTTTACTCTGCACTCGGCTTTGACTGACAGTGGAAGTTCACGTTTACAACATTATCGGATTTCGATCAAAACTGTAACTGACCGCATCGGTGTCTGATCTTCTCGACTAGAGATTAAAACGACACTTGTAAAAATGGTATAAAATCTATCTTGCAGGTTATTTGTTTGATGAGCTCGAACGTGATTCCGTTACCCTAAGGCTGCAGTTTTCCCGCCATCCTGGTGCACGGCCAGGTGGTGGACCCCGTGGAAGACGTTGAAACCCTAATCATTTGTGCAGGTGATATATGCTTCACATTCTCGGACACTTGATCACTTTATCTTTTTAATAATGGGACTTGGGCTCGAAACTAAAATTGTGGAAGGGCACTTCTATGTAGGACCCACTCGAATTGCGATATAACAATAGGGAAAGACGTTTTGCCAGCGTTGCAGGGTTTCTTTTGCGATATCTACGCTCAATCCGACATTCTGACGCTGCGGTTTCATTAGGACAGACCAGTCAGTTCAGTGGGAAGTTTGTTATTCGAAGAACTAGTATGTGTTTTAAAAAATTTGTGACCTCCTTTTGCAACGCTTTTTTCCTCTCTATGAGGTGTATTGGACAACGCTCTATTTATAATTTATTCCTAGATGAACCTAGTAAGTTTGGTTGCGGTTGTATTTTGGTGTGTTATGCTTTTAAAATTGAGTTGAATCAAGTTATATGCTGTACTTTTTCCTATGATGCACTCGGGTTTTAAAAATCATTTGCTGGCCTCACTTAGGTTTAGTTGGAAACTGATTTTGGGGGGGGGGGGGTTATCTACTTGATTAGGTGGAAACAACACTGGATGTTGTATTTTCATCGGCATGTGTTGGTAGAGGAAATATCTATGTTCGGCTTACCCATAGATTCTACTCTTGAGTGGGGTAAAACCGTAGGCTGTTTGGTTTTCAGTCAAAAAGATACCTCCTCCGTCCACAAAATAACTTCCTGGTTACTATTCTATACTTTTGTCAATTTTGTTTCTTTGTGTGTTTTCATGCGTGATTCATTAAAATAAAGTATTTTGGTCACATTTTGTTTTATAGAACTTTGGTACTTTTGAAGCATGTAATTTTGTATTTTTTATTTCTATACCAATTTGTGAGTTAAGTACTTTCAAAAGAGAGGATTTTGCACGTTCTTCGAAATGGGAAGTTAGTTTGTGGATGGAGGGAGTATAATCATTTCTGCTTTCAGTCTACCTAACCTATGCTTTTCAAATATATACGAACTCGTTTGCATCATCCTCAATGGTGAATCAGTGAGAGTCCAAATTGTATCGGAGAATCATGTCTTCTATGGACCTTTCCAATAGTGTGATATGCTAGTTACCATTTAATCCTAAAAATCCATCCTTGTTAAAGTGAAAATTTACATTACTGTGTGTAATATGATGTTATCTGTATGAGATTCCTTACCCTATTGAAGAATACTATACTCTTATGAAAGTTTTCTCATGTCCCATGTGTTGTTTTACCTTGAAAATTACAGAGCATATGGTTTTGAGTGTGTGTTTGACATTATTCCAAGAGTGTTTTAATTTTACATGTTTGGAGGATTTAATTTTAGAGGATGATTCCAAGCTTTTGTATTCTATAGAAACAGTTATTAACAGTTTAGTTAGGAAATATTGAGTGTGTTTTAGATAAAAAAGTTTTGTTAAAAATGAGTATTTATTTTGTAAACAGCTTTCACAATTTTAGTATTTGGCAAACATTTTGTTTATTTCACAATTCAATAATTTGAACCTTTTGCTTATTTTAAGCAGTTCAAATCTCATAAGCCAAAAGAAAGTTTCTCCGTATTGTGTTTTTTATGCACTTGCATTTTGTAAGCCTAAACCAAGGAGTCGTTTTTTTAGTCTGCTTCCGCCCTAATTCATAGGACTTGCTTTTTGGTTTCGATTTAAAGATTTGGAACATGAAAAAGTGGTCGTTTTTTCCTTCAGTTTATTGTTTGTGGAGGGCATATCCATTTGTTTGTATATTGTTCACAAACAAGTTCATGAAAGTGTTTTATATGGTTTACAATGTTTTATTTGGTTATATGTACTTGTGACGGAGGGACAATACATTGTTGGAGACAAAGAGGGAACACAGCAAACCAGCAGAGCATTTTACTGCCCTTCATGTCTAGGACGCCAGCGGGTAGAGTGACCTACGAATCTTATTATTATGATTTTGTCAAGGGCATTTATTACTTTTTATCCAATACTGACCCCCTAATTATATTCTGTTCTACTGAAATTGGGGCATTGTCTATACCATCTGTCCCTAATGATTTTGCAAATGTATAGTTTTATCGTGGAGCAGTTAAGTTTATGGTACCCCCCCACTGTCCTCTGTTTAACAGTGTCTTTAGATTATCTTTGGTTCAAAAATCAATGAGTTGGAAAGGTTCTTGTTAAAAATAAGAGGGCATAATGTATCAAGAAAAAACAAATTTCTTACCATTATGCAAGAAAAATAAAACTATTTTCTTTTTTTTTCCTTTTAAAATTTTTAACCAATCGTAATTGTACGAAATTCATCTGCTTCGTCCCTCATACTTAAAAAAAGAGAATTTTCTTTACTTACCTGGGTTTTAAAAATATTTTTCTAAAAAATAAGTATATCTTTTACTAAAACTTCATCTTTGTTGAAAATGTGCATTTTGGATCGTCATTAAGTTGTTAATGGTTAGTTATATGAAATGATTATTTGTGTAACAAGATGAAAGATGAGAATGTTTTATAAAGTATAGTTTTTATTTTTTTTATTTTTAAATTTTTTCTGCAAATTTTTAAAATGACTCTACTTTGTTCTTTTTTTAAAGATTAAAAAATGGTACCATTGCCAAATTATTTCATGATTTTGACGATTTGAATTTTTTTATTTATAACAAACAACTTACATAATTAAAAGAATTTGGTGTAAGTATTTTTGTGCATTTTTAGTTTTTTACTCAACAAGTGTATTGTTTAGTTGTTATTTTTGAAAAAAACTTAATCATGGTTAGCTTTTTCAATACTCTTTGTTCATAAATAAAGTCACACCAGCCTTCAAAAAAAAATAAAATAAAGTCACACCAAATGAATACTCTTTGTTCATAAATAAAGTTTTCATTGCATGTTACAATGTTTAATTGAAATTATTTTATATAAAAAACTATTTGTAATTTAAAACTAAAAATTATATATTTAAAAATTACATAAAAAGGTCTACAAAATTAAAGATGACATAATTATATTATTTTATCAAATAAGACACGAAAACAAAGGTACTGAAAACAAAATTCTCGGTAATATGTACTACGTACTGTAGTATATACTGATGACATGTTTAAGTCATCACATCGTATTTTTGAAAAGTCAAATAAAAAATCTGTACTTCCTCTGTCCTTAAATATTCACAACATTTGCTTTTTCAGCAGTAGCGGAAATTTTTATTTATTTTGACATTTTCATTGATTATTTGATAAAATAAAATATTCTTGGCATCTCTTATTTTGAAAAACTTTTCATGTAGTTTTTTGATATGTAATTTTTATTTTTTATTTCTTTACCAATATGTAAATAAAATGAATTGAAAAAACTTAATATTTTACCTCGGGAATACAAATGTGGCAAATAATTTGGGACGGGGTATCTCTTAGTCCTCTTACAAATCAAACGGTGGAAGTGTTGAAAAAGTGTTTAGTTGCAGTAATGGCGTAGCCTATTTTATAGGTAGGACAGAATTGCTGTTAAATGTTAATGTGCACTAGCTTATACTAATGGCATATTTAACCGCCGACTCCCGCCGCTTCTCCGCCAACGACAATGACGACATCTACTCTGCCGCCGGAAGGGGAGCGGCGGAAGGAGAGTCGAGCTTCCACGGCGGCGAGCAGAGAACCGGACAGAGAAACGGGAGTGCCGCTGAAGTTACTGTTCCGAGTCGCCTCAATCGCCGGCGGGATCCAATTCGGGTGGGCTCTACAGCTGTCTCTGCTCACGCCGTACGTGCAGGAGCTCGGAATCCCTCACGCTTGGGCCAGCATGATCTGGCTTTGCAGCCCGGTGTGCGGCCTCTTCGTTCAGCCGCTGGTCGGACTCATCAGCGACCGGTGCAGGAGCCGATTCGGCCGCCGCCGCCCATTCATCCTCGGCGGTGCAATCTCCATCATGATCTCCGTGCTTATAATCGGATTCTCCGCCGATATAGGCTGGCTCTTCGGCGATCGAGGCAAGGTTAAGGTACGCGCCATCGCCGCCTTCGTTCTAGGGTTTTGGCTCCTGGATGCCGCCAATAACGTGACCCAAGCCCCTTGCAGAGCGCTCCTCGCCGATCTTACAAGTGCGCTTCTAATTTACTCAATTACACTTCCCTAATTTATCTACTACTCCCACCTTCCTCATATACTATTTTGTCAAAATTAATAAATTTTACCTATTAATTAAATAAAATTTAGATATTGATATAATAATACTTTTATTAGATTTATCGAATAAAATATTTTCAAAATAGTTCTTTATCTAATAATGTAGCATGTAATTTTTATTTATTTATAAGTTAAATGTCGATTTAGATTGATGGTAAAAAATTCAAAACTGGACAAACATTCTCGAATGGAAAGAGTACGCCCAAAAAATAAATACTCTCTTCGTCCCTATTTATATTGGGAAATTTATCTAAATACTACTAAAACATAGTGAGTTTACGAAGGTAATACTATATGTTTTTATTTCTGAATGTATTGTCATTAGTCATTGTCCATTGGTCATTGTTCAAATAAATGTCCATCGTCACTGGACATTGTTCAAACTAAATGTCTACTATTACTAGACATTGTTCCTGCCACTAGATAGTATTCAATTATCATTTAAAGAATAAATGTTTTTAAGCATTACATTAGGAAATGACTAATGTTTTAGTACTATTAAATACAAATTTCACTTTATATTGTCATGATCAAACTTTAGAAGATGTGAATTTTGACTAATATACTGGTTTTCACACTTGCTTTTACACTATCCCTCGTAGGGACAAATTGATTGCATAAAGTGTATATTTAAAAATATACACTCCATTGGAGATTGTCTTAACACGGAGTATTTTTTTATTTAGATTGTTCCAAAAAAAACCCTTTTAAAAGAGTTGGTTGGTCTTTATCATTTCTCTTTTACCTATAAAAATCACAATTTGCTTCGTTTACTCTGGGACGGAGGGAGTACTTCATTAAAAATGGTATCAAGAGACGAAATGACATAAACAATTTGCTTCGTTTACAACCCTATTCCGGAGTGGTTAGTTGCTGATAAATATTTTCAATAGAGTTTGGGTACAACTTCAACGTGTTCCCAAACCTAATACTTGATACTTTGTGAGGCCACAAGAAAAAATATGGGACTTTAAAATATGACATTAAAATATGACATTGGTTGCCTTTAATTTTATGTGTTAGAGAAGGATCATCGAAGGACTCGCGTGGCAAATGCATACTTCTCATTGTTTATGGCTGCTGGGAACATACTAGGTTGTGCAACTGGATCTTTCAGTGGCTGGCATAAGATTTTTCCTTTCACCTTAAGTGATGCTTGCGCCGTCAACTGTGCAAACCTCAAGACTGCTTTCCTTCTTGACATTGTTTTCATTGCAATCGCAACATATATAAGCTTATCAGCAGTCAAAGAGCAGCCTCTAGATTCCTATTGTAATGAAGATAGTGAACAGTCCTCCACCCATGGCCAGGAAGAACCTTTTCTCTGGGAACTGTTTGGAACATTTAAATACTTTCCGGGTACGGTTTGGGTTGTTCTGCTAGTCACTGCCCTGACTTGGATTACCTGGTTCCCATTCACCCTCTATGATACCGATTGGGTGGGTCGTGAAATATATGGGGGTGAGCCAAACGGAACGAATTATAGCAACGGAGTTCGAATGGGTTCACTGGGTCTAATGCTGAACTCTGTGGTGATGGGGTTAACCTCAGTGTTTGTGGAAAAGCTCTGTGCAAAACGGGGGCCTGGTTTTGCCTGGGGAGTATGTAACATTGTCTTGTCTCTGTGCTTCATAGCAATGCTTGTAATCACTGCCATCAGAAACCACATGGATATTGGCAGTGATGATCCTCCTCCAAATGCCATTGTTATTGCTGTGTTGTTAGTTTTCACTATTCTTGGGGTGCCTCTATCTGTGAGTCTTTTCTTTTGCTTTATGTGACATTTTATTCACCTGTAAAATGCTTGTTGCAGCATTCTCAATAAGTCAATCTTACGGTTTCGAACAATTTTTCGCAGATAACTTACAGTGTTCCGTATGCATTGATTTCATCACAGATTGAGAACTTGGGGCTTGGCCAAGGTTGGTTTTCATCATCCAAATTTGCAATTTTTGCTGTTGGGAATTAGTGAATGAACAACTTTCCATACAATGCAGGATTGTCAATGGGGGTACTGAATCTCGCAATCGTTATACCCCAGGTTGCCATTATTTTTCAAAAGATTATTCAAAAGATTCTTTTTATCTTCTCCATTACTGCATCTGAGATTATTGATTGTGCTTTTGAAATCAGATATTGGTTTCAGTTGGGAGCGGAGGCTGGGATGAGCTATTTGGTGGGGGCAATTCCCCTGCCTTTTCTGTGGCAGCGATTTCGGCATTTGCTGCTGGAATTGTGGCCATCTTGGCTATTCCTCGAGCCAGAGTCCATAAACCGAACCACCTTCTTTAAGGTATCTGGCCGACATTATTGCTTTCTTGTTTTTCAATATGGATTGCAAATTAGTGTGTAGGTAAATCTATAGTCACACCATATTTGAAACCAGACACTAAGTATTTATGCAATCCATATAGTTATTGTCCGTACATGTCTATTAGACAGATGATGGTCTTGTTTGGGAATAACGTTTTCAATTAGCGCTAGCGTTTTGGATAAAATTTTAATGGTGTAGATTAATTCTAAAAACGCTAACACTAAAAGCTACCGTCGGATAGCCTTTTCGAAACGCTAACACTGATGCCAAATGGGCCTGATATAAAACTTGATATGACTATTATAACGTTTTTCATTGGTGTAATGACATAAAAATCCATTCTCACTCCTTTCTTTATTGAGATGTTAATATGGGATGGTTCGAATTGTGCTTTAGGTTTTTTTTTAAATCTCATTTGGTTATGTCACTAACGTACTGATATTTGTAGGGTATTTGGAGTTATTTCCGTTCATTTGAATGCACAATGGAAAACCCAATGGAATTTAAAGAAGGGAGAAAGACCAAAGTAGGACTAAAACATTGAAAATATACTAAAATAGGACTTCCATGTTTTTATTCCTGAAATAGGACTTACATTACCAAACATGGTCATATACATTACCAAGAAAGTATAGTAATTTGCACATGTACACTGTCACATTACTACAATGCAAAGTCACATTACCACAGTGCAAAGTCCTATTCCGGGAAAAAAACATGAAAGTCTTATTTTGGTACTTTTCTCTATGTTTTAGTCCTATTTAGGATGATTTCTATTTAAAGAACGCATTTGTTAATTAATGTGTATTTATGTTTTGCCAATTTCGGCCAATTAATGTGTATTTATGGGTAATAAATAATGTCTTTTTCCGCCAAGCTACTAAGTACTACCACCTCAAAAACAAAAAAAGAAAACACATAGTACTCTTTGCCACCAATCTATGATTAAAGTCCAATTTACCTTCTCTCTGTGATCGTCTGACCGGGTCTGAAGACTCTCGGAGATGTGACTCATCCATTTTTTAAAAGAAACAACACATGTGGAAGTCCCCAAACACACTTCAAACTACCCGCCCAAATTTTGGATGCGCCATGGTAGAGCATTTAACGGTAAAAAATCGCTGCCATCCTTGAACTAAAGGAACAAACGGAAAACACAGAGATAAGGAAAAGCTGGATATGATGTAGTTGAAGTAGGAGAAAAAAATGTAAAAGTGATTGAAAAATGTACAGTTAAATTGGTTAAGTGATTGGAAACCTGAAGAGAGTAAAGAAAGAGAAACTCATCCAAAACAATTAGAATAAATAAGAAAAGTGAGTGGGAATAATTCTTTGTACTACACCGTAAAATTTTGTTCTTGATGTTTAACCTTAGCTTTCAGATTAGAAAATGGATCTTAACTCTATATGCAAGTGCTTAATTTTATCTAATCTCTACTCGTTATTCTCGGCCCATTGGAATTTTAACATGATATCGGAGCAGGTTTGGTCCAAGTTCAATTCTACCTGATTGTTTGGCGATACGAGCTACCGTCTGTGGTTAACATTGAGTTGGTTATAAGAGATTAAGAAGTTACAACCCGTTGTGTGGCTAACCATAAAAGATTGAGATGCTAGATTTGTTTGTCCAAGTGCTAACTATTGAGGGGGAAAACAAAAAAATTCCACTAGCAAATATTGAAGGATGAAGTCCTATCCAACAGTATAAGTTTTTGGATTATAAAGTGAATCCCAATTTTATATGGAAGTGATTGATTTTGCATGATATTCTACTTGTTGTTCTCGCCCCACCAAATGTTAATAGTAATTGACTTTGTAAAAAGATTAAACTATAACTAATTAAAAAAATATGAAAAAATCTACATTTTATATATGGATCTTAAGACTACAATAGCACAACTAACTAGTACGGAGTACTAGTTTCTTTGCACAAAATTTAAACAGCTCATTTTTTACCTTTTGATGTTTTTTAAAATGCGCACGAAATCAAACTGATACAATTTATCGGGAGAAAGGGAGTATTAACAATCCAAGTGAAATAAGTTTTGATCTAAAACATATTTCAATTCATATATTAAAAAAACCATGTCATATTTTATACTGCAAATATAATATTAAAAAATACTGTGAACACCGATAAAACAATACATACTTGTAATCTGAAATTACCGGCATTTTACCATATCAACATTCATATTTACTCGCACTCCCTTCGTCCTAAGAAGTCCTTTTTTATTTTTTGTTTCACAAAGCCCTTTCACTTTGTATTAAAAAGCTACTTTACTCTTATTAATTCTTATCGTACTTATCACAATATATCTTTTTACTAATAATCTATCTATCGCATTTTGCTTTTAATCAACACATCAATGGTATTTTTAAAAATTAACCCAAAAATATTTCTTCCTTAAATTTTCTAAAAGTTACAATAGGAACAACTTTATGGAATATTCGAGTATAAGATTAGAAAGTAATAAAGAAATCGTATTTTGATATATGTTTCTCATGTTAGTGTCTGTTTGACAATAAAGTTGTTATTTAAGTATAACATTTCAAAACATCAATATCAATTAAAAAACATTATGTGAGAACTCCCTCGATAAGACTAAAAACTGTATATGGAAGGATAATTTACCTAAATAGGACTAAAACATAATGACTTTCTCAATATAAGACTATATGTTTTTATTTCCCAATGTATAACCATTGATCATTATCTATTAGTCATTATTCAATTAAATGTCCAACATCACTTGGATATTATTCTTCTCACTAGTTATTATTAAGTCTTATTTAGGGAATAAAAAAGTTTAAGTCTTACATTGGAAAATGACTTATGTTTTAGTCTTATTCAGTACAAATTTCACTATATAAAAATACTAAAGCATGAGTCTTAAGTTTTTTTAAGATAAAAATATGAGTTTACACAGTCATTCTTACACTATTAGAACTCACCATATTGTCACATTTACACTATCATGTACTGCCACACTGCTATTTGTCATCACTGATCATATTGTCATATTACACTGTCATGACTTTTTCATCATAGTACCAACACGTAATCTTATACGGAGTATTACATTGTCATTACGCTCTTAGTTTTGCCTTAAAAGAATTAGTACAACTATTTGAAGATTTCTTAAACACTATTATTCACAAACAAAATTGTAATGTTTTTTTAAAGGACCATGCTACACACCCCCACCCTTGCTACCAACCTTGCCTCCACCCACTTCTCCACCACATATTTATCTCCACTCATTCTCCCCCCACCCTCTAACTTTATTTTTCTTGCCTCCCTACCACATGTTTATGTAGGGGGGCATGTGTGGTAGCAAGGGTGAGGTTTTTTAGCATTCTCCTTTTTTAAAAAGTAGAAATGTTGATTTTTTTAGAACCATGCTAGGGGTACATCAAAAGTGTACCCCAATTGTACATCACATGCTTCCTCACCACACATTTTTATATAATTTTTATTTATTTATTGTTTTTTAAATTTTTTATCAATTATTGTGGACAAGGAGGGGGTGGGGAATATTTGGGGTACACCTTTTGGTGTACCCTAGCATTTTTCATTTTTTTAATATACCCAGTAACCCAGCCAAGAAGCGGAATCTACTTCGTAATCCGTATTACGTAATCCATAATAGGCAAGGCCCATTCTGTCTTTTTCCGGAAAAGGAATTATAGATTCCAATTACTGTACAGATTTAGAATCTTTAAATATTTTATAGCGTAGAATTAGGAGGTCTGGGAACCTTTTTACTCGGTCTTTCCCCGTTCTTTTCGGAAAGAAATAAATAATGAATCAAACTAATCCACGGGTTTCCAACAATAGTGGCCGAGAAAAGATAAGATTGTTTTTTCGTATTTTCATTTATGAACATTCCTTATAATTAGCGTTGAGCTTTTATGAGAGCATATATTTACATTAGCGTTAACATTTTAAAAAAACTATTCGGAGGTAGTCTTTAGCAATAGTATTTTTTGAATTTATCTACACAATTATAATTTTATTCAAAATGCCAAGGCTGGTCTCCAAAAATGAAAAAAAATTAAATTGGTTTGGTTCAAAATTTACATTTTGGACTATATTTTATTTTTTTTCAAAATACTTATACTTTAAAATTAATGCCAAATTTAAAAATATGGGTCCTAAAATTTTAGAGACCTTGTATGGTTGGCTACTTTGCACCCAACGTCTGGGCTATCCATACACAATGCTAACGCTAATCAAAAACATTGTTCTCAAACAAGGTCGTATTATAGAATCTAATACAATGTTAATCCTTTTGTTAAAATATAAATTAGATCTAATTAATATATTCTGTATTTTTTATCTAATCATAATTCAAAGGTGGATCAAAATTGACTGTAAAAGTAAAAACTAGACAATTTTTTTGAGACGTAAGGAGTACAATATGCAATTTTTATTTAATCCTTCATTTATATTTAATTGATTATTATGATATGTATACCTATTTAAAAAAGGAAAAAAAATGTTTTCTTGGTTATATACGAGTAAATAAAATTTCTGATCATTATGATGAATATCGTGTTACATTACAAAATTAACGAATGTAGACATATTTTATATTTAAATTCATTTATTTTTTAGTGAACCAAAAAAATCGGAATGGTTAGTTAAATATGAATGGTGGGTATAACGCACTGGGTATAAATAAATGTGAGAGAGAGAATAGTGATTCTAATAGGATTCTGATTCTCTACATCTCCCATAGGAACCAAATCAACGGAATCTTCATCATACAGTTGGAACCGTACCGGCGGCTAAAGAAGGCAGTACAATGGGGAATGTAACGGCTGACGTGGAGGCGACGCCGCCCTCGGCGGCGGCGGAGGAGGTGTGCGCGGTGAGGCAGGTGGATCTGACGGTGCCGAAGACGGACGACCCAGCCCTGCCGGTGCTGACGTTCCGGATGTGGGTCCTCGGGGTGGCCTCCTGCGTGCTGCTGTCGTTCGTCAACCAGTTCTTCTGGTACCGGACGGAGCCGCTGATGGTGACGGCGATCTCCGCCCAGATCGCGGTGGTGCCGCTGGGACACCTCATGGCGCGCCTGATCCCCGCCACCGTGTTCTTCAAGGGGACCAGGGCGCAGTTCAGCCTGAACCCGGGGCCCTTCAACGTGAAGGAGCACGTGTTGATCACCATATTCGCCAACGCCGGCGCCGGAACGGTTTACGCCACACACATATTGAGCGCCGTGAAGCTGTACTACAAGAGGCCCCTTGGCTTCTTCCCTGCTCTTCTTGTCATGCTCACCACCCAGGTATTTTTTTTTGCTTTTTTAAAACTCAAATTGTACAAATTTTAATCATTATTGTATTAAATGTGACAAATTTATCTAGTGAAATTTTGTATCGATATTAACACATTTTTGTTTAATTAGTAATCGAAATTTGTCTAAAAACAATCGTGTCACTGCAGAATACTTTTAGGTAATCTACATTCATAATTGGTACTGGATTTTAACTGTGTTTTTAAGATTAAAAACATGGAACTCATATTTTATTGCTTTAGTCTTTTTTTCAAATATTTTTAGAATTTCAACACAAAAAATTAATTCTTTTTTAAATCAATGAAAAGTCAAAGAGGAATGTTTTAAGAGATGGGGTGAGTATTAATTAATGAATGAGATCAGAGCATATATATTTACGGAGTATAATTTTATTAATGACTCCTTGTAACGGACGAACACCTTTTTGTTTTTTTTAAAAAGGACAAACACCTTTTTTTCAGTTAAACTTCATTTACTCTATTTAGTATTTATCCATCCCATTTTCATATAAACATTAATGACTCCATTTAATGTGGAGCATACGATCTGGCCGGTTTTATAGTCGCAGTACTTTTACAAGCACAAGCAACAATGCTAATTTTTTGAAAGATTTTGAAATAAAATAAATATTTTCTTCATCCAAAATTAGTTGTGCTTCAAAATGAATCTATTCATATTAATTTATCTAAAAATTCAATACTTTTTTGTAATATACAGTCAAAATTTCAAAAATTTAACAAAGAAAGTCAAACTAACTGAAAAGTTAAATTTTTGAGCGAAAGGAGTAACTCGGAGTATGTAGTTGGCCGAAATTATTTTGAGTTCATTTTTTCAAATATTTGATTGGGTCTAATTTGAGTTTGTTTTTTTAAAATATTACTCCGTAATACTAAAATTAAAATAAAATGTATCTTGGATATATAATTATAAACTACATGAAGAATTTATAAAATAAAACGACTAGATAATATGATTATTTTATTGTAATAAATGATTAAGTAAATAAGACAAATGCAAAGAAAAACATATATACTCTTTAGTTTGAACTAACGAATATTAAAAATGATTTTATTTGAGAACAAAAATATAAAAATTAAACTTTGAAGTTTTAGTCAAATACACCCTTGTATTGTAATTACATGTTAATTTAGAATTGATGATATTAGCCTAGTTTGTAACAATGTCAAAGGTTGTTATTGTTTTGAAAAATTAATCAAAAATATTAAAATTTAATTCAGAACATTAATGCTAATTAAAAACATTGTTGATATATATTATCTACTTTATGAATGCAGATGTTAGGTTATGGGTGGGCTGGAGTTTTCCGTAAGCACCTTGTCGAGCCAGGGGAAATGTGGTGGCCCGGCAACCTTGTACAAGTCTCTTTGTTCAGGTACCTCAAAATTGTTAAAAATTTAGAGTCTCTTTTCGAATAACGTTAGACATTAGCGTTGCATTTTGAAAAAATTATCTATAATCAACATTTAATGTTATCGTTTTCAAAGTAATCTGCAAGATTAAAGTTCTATCTAAGAAATGAATGCTAATCTCTAAAAATATTTCCCATAGATCGAGAGTCTAAACACCCCACTTCAATTTCTAATTAATCTCAATTGATGGATATATAAATAGAAATGTTAATAGGACTAAAACATAAATATGACTAAAACATAATGACTTTCTCAATATAGTACAATATGTTTTTATTTCCCAATTTAGGACTATTGGTCATTATCTATTAGTCATTATTCAACTAAATGTTCAGCATCACTTGGACATTATTCTTCTCACTAGACTTTATTAAGTCTTATTTAGAGAATAAAAAAGTTTAAGTACTACGTTGGGAAATAACTTATGTTTTAGTCCTATTCCATGCAAATTTGAGATGTTTAATACTCTGTTTATATATGCATGTGGTGTAGGGCACTTCACGAGAAGGAGAAGAAGACGGGAGAGAAACGGGGCACAATTACTCGAACCAAATTCTTTCTCATAGCCTTAACCGCCAGCTTCCTCTACTACATCTTCCCCGGCTTCCTCTTCCAGATGCTAACCTCCCTCTCATGGCTCTGCTGGCTCACCCCCACCTCCGTCACCGTCAACCAGCTGGGCTCCGGCATGCAGGGCCTGGGCCTCGGCGCGGTGGGCCTCGACTGGTCCACCATCTCCTCCTACCTCGGAAGCCCGCTCGCCAGCCCGTGGTTCGCCACCGCCAACGTGGCCGCCGGATTCTTCCTCGTCATGTACGTCGTCACCCCCCTCTCCTACTGGCTCGACCTCTTCCACGCCAAGAACTTCCCCATCTACTCCAACGACCTCTTCCAGCTCGACGGCTCCCGCTACAACACCTCCGCCGTCATCAATTCCCATTTTGCCCTCGACCGACAGGCCTACGACCGCGCCGGGCCCCTCTACCTCTCCACATTCTTCGCCATGAGTTACGGCATCGGGTTCGCGACCCTCTCCGCCGTCGTGGTGCACGTCCTCCTATTCAATGGCAGGTACGACGACGTACCCACGAAAGATGTTCCAGTTTCATTTTTTGCGCATCACATAACCTATCCCACCTGAATGTCAAAAAAACTTTGAAAACAATTTCTACCCACAATAAAGAAGAAATGTGGTAAATTTTAGGCATTTTAGATGTGGTTAGAAGTGTTTTAATTATGGAATGCGCAAAAAAATGAGACATGAACATCGTTTTGGGACGGATGGAGTATATTTAACGAGCATATAATTTGGGTGTTACTTTCCTATTTTACCCTTGTTTTTTATGAAACGCGATCGGGACGATCGAGTGCAGGGACATATGGAGTAAGACAAAGAAGGCGTTCGGGGGAGAATCGAAAGAGGACATACACACGAGGCTGATGAGGGCATACAAGGAGGTTCCGATGTGGTGGTTTCTTGTCATTCTCGTTGTCAACCTTGTTGTCATCCTTTACACGTGCATGCATTACGAAGAGACATTGCAGTTGCCCTGGTGGGGGGTGTTTTTGGCATGCGCCATTTCCCTCTTCTTCACTCTTCCCATTGGTATCATTTGTGCCACTACTAACCAGGTAACAAAACATGACGTTCTTCCCTGAATGTGACTAATTCTATCAACTTCAAGATTCATACATTATTAACGATTTTTTTTCATATTTTATCATATAGATGCCCGGTTTGAATGTGATCACGGAATACATAATCGGGTACGCGTACCCGGGTCGACCCGTGGCCAACATGTGCTTCAAAGTGTACGGATACATTAGCATGATTCAAGCACTTTCGTTTGTTGGGGATTTCAAGCTCGGCCATTACATGAAAATCCCCCCTAGGACTATGTTCACCGTCCAGGTTTGACAAATTTATTTATGATTAATAGTACTAATTAATTACTATGTTCTTTTGACACTAAACATAACATGTTTGTGGTGTCATAATGTTTTGGTGATATCTAAGTAAATTCCTCTTTTCTTAATTGGTGAAGCTGGCCGGAACGGTGATCTCGGTGTTGGTCTACACTCTAACGGCGTGGTGGCTGATGGAGACCGTCCCCAACCTCTGCGACACCCTCCACCTACCGGCGAACAGTCCGTGGAAATGCCCGATGGACCACGTCTTCTACGACGCCTCCGTCATCTGGGGGTTGGTGGGCCCCCAGAGGATATTCGGCAACCTCGGCGGGGTATACCCCAAGATCAACTGGTTCTTCCTCGGGGGCGCGGTCGCGCCCCTTCTGGTCTGGCTGGCAGCCCAAGCCTGGCCGGACCAGAAATGGATCCGGGGAATAAACATCCCCGTCCTGTTGGGCGCGACCGCGATGATGCCGCCCGCGAGCGCGGTCAACTACACGAGCTGGATCGTGGTCGGGTTCGTGTTCGGGTTCGGGGTGTACCGGTACAAGCCCAAGTGGTGGGAGCGCTACAACTACGTGCTGTCGGGGGGGTTGGACGCGGGGACGGCGTTTATGACCATATTCATATTCTTTGTGTTCCAGTCGAGAGGGGTTAGTGTGAACTGGTGGGGTAACAATGTGGATGGTTGCCCTCTGGCCTCTTGCCCTACAGCTAAAGGGATACTCGCTGACGGATGTCCTGCCAGATGATGATGATGATGACACACACACGCATAGAGTTTTAAAATTGTGGCATTTATAGTTCAACTTGGGAGATGCTTTATGTGATTGGTACATTTTAGATGTGACATATATAGTGTTTATGAAGCTTTCTTCTTCCATCTCAATTTAATTTCATTGTTTGCTGTTACGATGATTGCTTGAATTTTTTTTCAAACTACTTCCCCCGTCTTCCTAAAATGTTCTCATTTTGACTTTTGGTGGTTTTTAAAGAAAGTTAAAAAAAGATGAAAGTTTACCATAATATCCTTAATGAAAATGGGTGGAGTGTATTAAATGAGGTGTGTGAGTAGTAAAAAAGAGTTAAAAAAAGATGAAAGTTCTCATTTATGAATATACTACGTATAATCAGATCAAAACCACTATATATATAGTCAAAATACAATTTGTTATCAAAGTAAATACAATTTGACCAATAATGTCGAACTATGATAATCTTTTCAGGACGGAGGGAGTATCATATATATATATATATATTACAAAAATACAGTTTGTTCTAAAACCTCTTTTTATCATAAATGCAACATTTATGAGTGGAAAAAATATTGGTAGCAAACAACTTCTTAGATGAACACTTGTGAACCCCGCCACAAAGTCTTTCTTCTTCAAAACTCTGTGTGTTTATTTGATCCTTGATTATTTTTAAAGAGACTTAATAGATCTCAGACTCTAGCAATTTTTTTCTTTAAAAAAACTTCATCGGAATAAGAATAGAGATGTAATATATTTAAAGTAGTATTTTTTTACATAAATACATGTATATTTCAAAATCTTTAAATTTATATAAGGTTATTGAATTGCTAACTTCACCCCTCAAAACAAAAAGAAGGTACATAGTCATGCATTAGTGCAGATCGCACAGAAACAGGAAGAGATAGCTCATTAGGGTATTCAAGACATGGATTATCATTGAGAGTCTATCGGTCTATCCTCCTTGGGTAGGAGTAAACCAGCTACTCTGTTTGCTTGCTTGAGTGTGCTGCAAGTTTGGAGGTCGGGTGATCTCTGATTAGTTTATGATCTCTGATTAGTCTTCCAAGGATATCAGTGGGGAAGTTGGAGGTCGGGTGTGCTGCAAGTTTGGTGGCACGTGTGAAAATCTCCCATGCATCTGTCTCGACAATAAATTGGGGATCAAACGCTAATGCCCACTCGATTGCATGAAGGATAGCCTTCCCCTCTGCTGTGTAGGGAGTCTCTGCGGATAGCATGAAACTTGCGCCTCTAATGAACTTTCCAGAATCATCACGAAGTATTCCTGCTCCTCGTTTATGGGTAGAGGTGAAAGAGGCATCCACGTTAAGTTTTAGCCCTACCACTTCACCATACGAATCTGTTTTCTAGCTCTAAAAAGTGGACTGATGTTGTTGGAAATGAGCCAGGAGCCATTCGTTCTATAAGCATTAGGACATTTAGCGCTCAACCATTGCTTGGTGTAGAGGGATATGATGTTGATAAGGCTTCTAGGAACCCATTCACCATTGTTGAAGGTGATGGTGTTCATTTGCTTCCAAATATGCCAAGCAATGAGAGAAGGAAGATTTTGTCGTATAAAACCTCCAATGGAGTTATATCCTCTTAGCCACCAATTCATGAAGAACTGGTTAAAGGACCTGCCCTCTGTATGAAGGATCTTCATTATTGAAGAAAAGTGTCTCCAAATAGGTTGTACTTGTTGACATTCTAGAAGACAGTCCCATGCTGTATAAGGTCCATTATGACAAAGGACACACCTGGAAAGGAGATTCTTATGAGTGGGTAAGGACTTTTTGAAGGGCTTCTAGGTGAAGATGCCGACTTCGAGTTTCTGTCCTTTCCCCCATATATATTTATAGGATCTGCAAATAGGGTTAGCCACTCTACATACCTCATAAGTGCTAGAAAGACTAAATAAGTTATCAGAAGTGGGGTTCCAGGTTTAGCTCCCATCTACATGTTCAGTGTTTTTGGCCTCTACAATCTCGTCAATGCATAGAATTTGTTTCCAAATGGAGGAACCAATGATATGGGAAACCATGTCACCATTTCTTTTGTATTTAGAAAGCATCAGTCTTGCCCAGATACTCGTGTTGGTTTTTTAGTTCCAACAAAGTTTAAGGCTGAAAGCAGCTTCCAGAGATCCCTGATACCAAGGCCTCCCTCCTCTTTTGGTTTACAAATCTCATCCAAGCTGATCCATGATGTTTGTTTCCCCACCAAAATCTTGACATCTTCTAAGTAAGTATTCTCTGGACAGATTTGGGAATGGTACCAGATCTAAAGAAGTAGATAGGAAGAGCGTTGAGGACATGCTGGATAAGAATGAGCCTCCCTACTTGTTCTAGCTGTTTAAATTTCCAATTTCCAATCTTCCTGTCAACGGCTGAGATAAGTGGAGTACAATGGCGGGGCATTCCAATCAT